TCATTTGCTCTTTCAACATTACAAATTTGGTTGTGGTTGGGGAGCCTCTGCCTTCGGTTGTAACCAGCACCGTCGGCTAGGATCTGATCGAAAAATTTGTCGAAGACCACAAAGGCAGCCAAGAGAAACAGATGGTGCACATCACGTGCCTTGCCGTGATGGTGCCCAAAGCCAATGACGAGTTCACCAGCAATAAGGTTGCGTATATGGCCAACGTCATCGCCCGTTACCACAAAACCCTCGTCTAGAGGACCACTGACCAATTGGGTAAGCTTCGTTTATGCATTTTTTTTATTGAAATTTGAAATCAAAGCATCAAGAGAAAACGCATCCCAAAACGCCTCTAGCAAACTCCTCGGGATTGCTTTCATACCTTAAGTCCTAAGGACTCATTCATGGTAGAATATTTCTATTAATATAAAACTAAACTTATAATTGAGTAAAAACTAAAAATTACTTTTATATTTTTATTATGCACATATAGGAACTAGGATCATTATTCCAAGAATACGTATACTGAATTTAGTATACGAGCTAACACATCTGAATTTTATGATCAAATCCACTTTGCTAGCCATAACTCGATCATAAGCATTCCTGAGCCTATTCTCATTACTTCTCTCTCAGAACTTATCAAGGCAGATAATGGAAGTAATTGTGAAATGTAGAAAAGGAGAGAACAGAAACGTATTACGTATGCAACATTATACAAAGTGATGAATCAAGAAAAGAAAAATGAGCACTAAAAAATGACGGTAACACAAGTGAATTTACTTGCCCTTTCGTCAATGAGTATGGTGTTGGAAAATATTAGTATTTATGTTTATTTTAGTATTTGGATTTTCCTTGTTAGTTTAGGAATTGAGTTAGCCCATCCGAGTTATAATTTCTTAGGTTTAGTTCTCTATAACTATTACTTATAATTTAGTTTGAGAAACATGTTAGTCACAATGTAGCATGTTTTGTAGCTGTTCCTGCATTGTTTTTTGTTTAATAATATTCTTATTATTTTGTTCCGTTTGTTTGTTGTATCAATTTGTCTTTCTCGTCATTCGTGTTTAAATTGCTTAGTTGCGATTGAATTTTAAACAAACAAAAAACAAAAACAAAATTCTGACGGCCTTCTGCTCCGTCCTCATGTCTCTGTAGCCTGACCAGTAATCTGCACAAGACCACCACGAATCTGCATCTGCCTGCAACCTATCCGCACCGGCTTGAATCTGCACATGCTCGAACCGCTGCAATCATCGCAGCCAACTCCGACGAGCTGGCCCACTGTCGCATCACCTCGCCGCCCCGACACCTGATGACTCGCATCGTACCCGCACTCGATTCCTATGAGTCGGATCTGTCGCAGTTCGTATGGACTCCCTTCTGCAGTTTGACTTTGCACTGGAGTTGTTCTGTTGGCTGCAATCCCTTTTCTTTTGCTTGACTTGGTTGCTGCATGAAGAAAGCAGGAGTGAAGAAGGATAAGGAAGAGAAAAAAAGAAGAAAAGAAGACGAAGAAGAAGAAAGAAAAAAAAAACGGAGAAAAAAAAAAGGTTAGGTTTTTTAGGCCCACAAAGAAAAAGTTGTTTTTTTTTTAAGTCGATAGGGCCCACACAAGGGTTGTTGGTTTGTTTGAATGATTT